TTTTATTTCACATTCGCACTTACAATCACCCACATTACAGATTCAAAATTACTGCTATTTACTGCTATCTGCAGTATCACAAATACTACACTCAAAATTCCAGAATACAACTGACTGGTTGCTGGCTAACTCNCTGTTCCCCTCTGGCTTCTTACCTCTGTTCACTCTGTACCTGTTAATATATTTTAAGTAAAAGAAAGTGAAACTGAGGTACAGAATGCCACTTTGCCATTGCATTTACTCAAATTACAGACATCACACTATTGCCACAAGAATGCACTATATTCAGAAGCTCATAGCTACAATACTGACTTGAATGGTCCCAGTTAATCAATTATTTTTTATTTCTTCCTTAAAACAATTCACATATACAAAAATATATTTGCTTTTTGAAAAACAATAACATTTGTTACATCGGACACAAGTTTAAAAAATGGCCAATGTTGCTCACCTTCCTTGTCATTGAAGCAAGCAAGCGCTGATAGCTTTTTGAATACAATACATGATCTGCAATGTAGGCCCAGTCATTGCCTGCTACAGTGCCTGTTGAATCAAGCAATTTAATCACAAACTGAGCTAAGTTAAGTATTATATTTAATTTTTAGTAATCATACAAAGCAAAGATGTAATAATAATGGATTTATATACTTTAAGAACACAGCATATTTTCAAAAACAACAACGAAAATAATATAAAGTAGTTATTCCCTGGTACACCTGACACTGGTTGAAATGTGACACTTATAAATGTGGACATTCAGAAAGCACCATTATGTTATAAGGTGATAGTTTACGTGCACAGCACTGGTTTCAAGGATCTAAACATTATGAAACTTTGATATGAAAATTAGCCCAAGGAAGGATGTAGTTATGAAAATTAATAAGGAGAATCAGCTTATAAACGTCAAAACGTTGAAAGTATGATGAAAACTACCAGCTTGCTGGTTCGTTAATTCTTGGGTCTGATATTTCATTAACAATCAGGAAGTATGCTGCCTGAGTTGAGTGGGTGGGTGAGTATGTCAGCAAATTAGTTTTTTTTTTTCCATTTAGTTATATTAGTCATTCACTGAAAGAGCTGTGTCAGTAGCTGAGATACGCAATTTCATTAACTACTAGTGCATATGTTTGCAAGCTGGGACATCTTAAATCACTATGGAAAGATATGTTTACCCTAAGGTTCTGTCCTACCTAGATGAACAGGAATGAGTGCTGTTTGTAGACCTGAGAAAAGTATAATGCCTGGAGAGTTATTTGGACACAAAGGCATGCAGCTTCTGGTACAGAGGTTCAATAAGGTTGTGTGTAAACTCCTTGAAATTCACTTCGCTGTTCCCAATAAGTTTCCATGTCTCCAAGACCTGTTGAAGAAAGGAATTTAAAGTGATACAAATTTAAGAATTATAGATCAAAGTAGCAGAGAAGTATGATTTTAAATTTAACGCTGAACTA